AAAAATGATTTTTTTTAAAATTGTTTTAAAAGACGTTTTTAGGTATTCGACCTACCTAACCCAAAGGTCGATGGCGACTCCCTTTTCCATTTTATTTCAATCAATCCAAAATCACCCAATTTTCCAAAATTTAAGTCATAATCGTTTTTTAAAATAATATTTAATAGTTTTATAAAAAAAAATGGTTATGACAGTAATAGTTACTGTGGTTTAAGTGTATTGCTGCACATTATGAACTTGATAATGTTTTCTTGCGCTTCTTGTGCTATCTTTTTAATTTTCTGGTTGGCTGTCGTTTAAGGGCCGGATTCTGAGTGTATTGCAAGTGTGTTGCCTATATATGGTATATACAATAGTGACAACTTGTTATGCAATATGCTAGTATATCAAAATCTATATATCGCAAATTATGGACTTGTCAAAAATAGTATAAATATAGAATATCTTAAGTATGATTATGAAATTAGAAAATGCTCGAATTGGCAGGTTTAAGAGATTTGGAGTAACAAGCTTCTTTCTGGTGATTTTCTCTTTGACGTCAAAAGAAGCTATTTTCTTAAATATTTGCCCTTATTCTATGGTGCATGCGAATGCAATATGAATTGCTCGTTACTTGTCATCAATCTTCCTAGGTACCTGCACTGCCGTTATTATCATTTTTTAATTTTCTTTATTTGTATTATTATTGTTATTTATCTTCCTTGTCTCTTTAAGACCCGTGATGGTATGAATTTAAATTCATTTGAAAATAAATGTAATATTTAAAATTCAAAGTATGTTTTTGAGAATAGGTTGTATGGATTAGTAAGGGGTTGTCTCAGGAAAGGCGGACTAATATACGACTAATATATGGCGTGACCGGATACATTAAAAGATATTTAACAAAATTGGTTTAACGCTACCAAAAATGTTGAGTAATAATAATGTTGTAGGTGGAAATCATGAAGAAATATTAAAAAAAATTGGCAATCGGCAAACTTAGCTTGTCGATTTGTGTCGATACAAATAAAAAATGTATCGATCCATAGCAATATAACAGGTAAAAATATGACAAAACCGGTCTCAAAATGACCAAACCGGTAAAGCGCTACCTGACATGTTCAAAGTGTCGATACTTTAATATAAATATCGACACTTTTGGAATTTAAAAGAGAAGCAGTAATAGCGTCTATAAAGTGTCGATACTTTATAAAAATGTATCGATCCATAACAATATAACAAGTAAAAATATGATAAAATATGTCTCAAAATGACAAAACCGGTAAAGAGCTACTGGATATGTTGAAAGTGTCGATACTTTAGTATAAATATCGACACTTATGAAATTTAAAAGACAAGCAGTAATAATGCCTATAAAGTGTCGATAATTTATAAAAATGTATCGATCCATAATAATATAACAGGTAAAAATATGACAAAATCGGTCTCGAAACAACAAAATCGGTAAAACGCTATCGGATATGTTGAAAGTGTCGATACATTAATATAAGTATCGACACTTTTGGAATTTAAAAGAGAAGCAATAATAGCGCCTATAAAGTGTCGATACTTTATAAAAATGTATCGATCCATAACAATATAACAGATAAAAATATGACAAAACCGGTAAAGCGCTATCGGATATGTTGAAAGTGTCAATACTTTAATAAGTACGCATAATAAATTATCGACACTTTAAAAGAAATAGGTAAATATCATATCGAAAGTATCGACATCTGATATAAAAGTATCGACACTTGGGTTATTGTATCGATTAAATATAAATAACATATCCGGTGAAAATATGCATAACTAAATTTTCTCTGAAAATAGATAGAAACAGACGAGTATTTGAAATCGAAACGTAATTGTTGCTGCATTTCAGAAGGCGTTTCTAATGCGAAGTTTGTTTGTTTGTTGCTGCAGTCAAATCGAAAAGTACGTTGTTGAAACCCTAGTTTTTTTTATTATTACAGTAATCGAAAATAGGATGTTTATGTGTTATTTGGGGTTTTCTAAGTGAAGAAACATTTGAGATCGATTACAGGTAGAAAGTGATATTCTAGGTAAAATATAAATATAGATACTTTTATTAAATATTATAGGTAGAAAATGATATTATGGGTAGTATAAATGTGTCGATACTTGGAGTATTGAGTGTTTCCATTCGTTTGAAGGAAATAGGGATTAGGGTTTTTAGGTTTGGTTTAGGGATTTTGAATCGAAGCCAAGAAGGATTTGTGACCGATTATATAATATTATAGGTAGAAAATAAATATAGATACTTGTTTATAATATTATAGGTAGAAAATGATATTGTAGGTTGTATTAATGTGCCGACACTTGTTGTAGTGGCCATTCAAATTCTTTTGAAAGAAACTGTTTTACTACAAGAGTAGTTATCGATATTCGTATATTGAATAAAGTGTATGTAACCAGTATTTGATTTGATTTGCGTAAACTGATATATGAGGGAAAAATGAAGTCAAATGATCTTGGAATTATTGGCGGCGAAGATGACTTTGAAATTGAGGCCGAGAGTCGAAAGCAACCAAAGGGGGGATATATGTACTTCTAGTAAGTATCAATGCCTTTTTGTTATTATTGTTGAAATTGTTAAAGTATTTAAGAACTTTAAATTGATTACAAATTTTAAATATTGACAGTATGACCGAATGTCAAAGGATGAAGGAAGCTGGCAAACACATCAGTTCTGTATGTAAATTGAAATTAACATTGATTATTATTTAGCGTTAATGTATTGATTAAGAAACGTTTATGCTTAATATTAGGTGAAAAATGATGTGTTGGAGAAATGGAATTCGATGAGTGATACTGAGAAGGAACCTTACATCGCACAGTCAAAGATGGATAATGAAGAATACAAAGAATGAAGGAAAACACATGAGAATAAGGTATTCATTAAATATGTAAATACGTTGATACAAGATATATAAGAATAATAACATTATATATTGTTAAAAAATGTAGGAAGTGTCGACAAGGTGTAGCATAAAAAGAGTGAATTCATTAATTGAACAACTTAAGGAGAATGATCAATTGAATATGCTGGAAGAAATGGGGTTTGGATCGTTGATAGGAATAAGGGATCGATCTATTCAGAGGGAATTGTGTCAATCCTTGATGAAGCAATTTGATGTCCAACAATGTATTGCTAAATATGGTGATTATTCATTTCCTCTGGGGGTCCCATGTGCTGCAGCCGTCTTGGGGGTACAAAATGAAGGCAAGAGTGTTGTAGAAGTCTGTAAGAGTAAGAACTGGAAAGCACTTGCCTCCAAATATGGTTTGAAGCAAAAAGTTACATATGATGAAGTTGAAGAGGTTATCAAAAGTGGATCTTACGGGGGGATGACCTGAAGGCCCAAGTTCTATTGTACTTTGTCGGGATATTTCTTTGTCTAACGGGTGATACGTCAACGAATAAGGACAATATGAAGCTCATTTGCGATGAAGGCTTGAAGGGTGAATTCAATTGAGTTGAATATATCCATTCGAGATTGATTGAATCAATAATCGCCTTTCAAAAGGACAACCAGAGATACCTCAAAGGGTGCATAGCAATCTTAGAGGTAAATGAGTTGAAGAACATTTTTGTTTTTTTATATAAAATGATAGTATAGTTATTATATAAAATGATAAATTTTATTATAAATGCATGTTGCACTGTTCAATTTTTGGTCGGGCTGTGATGGTGTGTCGGCTTATGAAAGAACCAAGTTGGCACGCATCCGTGCATGGGGGAAGAAATAGGTGGTTAGAGTGATGGCGAAGTTAAAGTTTGATAGACTGAGGAAGTAAGAAAGGGTAATAAATGTAATTAAATAATATTAAGAATATAATCAATGTCTTAATATTGTAATTTAATTTTGAAGGTTATTTGCAAGGAGGTAGAGGAGGCAAAAGAGAAGGAATAAGAGATGGTTATAGGGGGATGACGGTCAGAGGGATGACGGTGAGGGAAAACAAAGTAAATTCGACATTTTGATGCTGAATTGGCTGATATAAAAAAATTCCTTTTTGATAATGTGCAAAGACAATCAAGATTCGAAGAGACACTTGAGAGGCATAAGGGGGGAGTGAGAGGAAAAATATATGGAGTGGTTAAAGAAGTTGAGGTATTGAGGGGTGAACTTAAGATGGTGACGGGTGGAAAAATTGATGGAGTGATCAAGGAGGTTGTAGAATTGATGAGTGAACTTACGGGGGGTAAATGGAGTGGTTGAGAAAAACTTGGATGAAGGGGAAAAAATGAAGGGTGAAATAAAAGAGATGAAGAGCTATGTAGAGCAAAAATACGATGAACTAAAAAATATGAATAAGAAAAAATGGAGGAAGAATAAAAGATGGAGGAAATGAGGAGGAAGGATGTCGATGTGATATATACACCGGAGAGTGTTATAGATGCATATTTGGATTCGGAATGTCCTGCACCCCAGAAGAAGAAGCAGAAGGTAAGTTGAATAAAAGAAAACTTGATTTGATTTTTATCATGCTGTTGTGACAAAAAATTGTATGCAAAATTGTAGGTTGAAAAAGCAAAAATTTCAAGCGGAATTGGTGAGCTCGAAGCTGCAATGTGTGATTATTTATGGAATAGTGGGTTAGAATCGTCGTAAGTGAAATATATTGCTTTGTGAGTGATATTTAAATATTTTATGACAAGATATTAATCCTAATGATTCATACAGATATTCTGTAATCGCAAGGAGAAATCAATATGCTAGTGTATCAGACGTTGCAACGTTGAAGCCTACGGAATGGGTTGGCGGTGTGGTAAGTAGAAAGTAAAAAATGTTAAAACCTATTGAATATGTTTTGATTGTGTAATTAATTTTTTAGGTTATTGATTTTCTCTGCTGAATATTATGCTACGATTCGAAAAAGTCAATCGGGAGGATTGACTACCTTTCATACCACTTAGCGATGAGTTAAATTAATAAATGTTTAAAAGTAGTGTTATAAACGATAAATTAATAATGATTGTCGCGTAATTGCAGCAACAGGCGTTGGAGGCCAACAACAAAGTAACTGTTGAGGGTATTGCGAGCTTTTGGGGTGCCATATTGGATAACTATGTGAAATTCGTCGGCTGCGAGAAGGTAAGACACCATAGGAATTGCAAATGATGTTTTCGGATATATAATGTTGAATTTTGTCAAATTGGGTGTGAAATTTGTTACAGATCCTGATCATAATAAACTACCATAATTCACATTAGTATCTGTTGGTGTTTGATATGGTAGAACGTGTTGCAACGATATATGATAGTCTGTTTACATCTGAAGCAGCTAAACAGAGAGTGAATGATGCTAAGATATTGGTATGTATGAAAGGAAATTATGTAAATTATAAAGCATAATTTGTTTGGATCATGATATTTTTTTAATGTAGATGAAAATATTAAATAGTTATAATAAGAAATGCATTTGGGTAGAAGCATGTGGCTTTCTAGGAAAGGTCCCCTTGAAAAATTTCAAATTTGTGGAGCATAAGATGAATGAGCAATTGAATGAGTATGAGATGTTATCATAAATAGAAAACTTAATTTATGCTGGTTTTATAATTGACATGTGTGGTATTCAAATTTTGTAACAGATATGATTGCGGCATTTATGTGATGATGCAGATGAAATCGATCGGTTCTAGAGGGGCAACTGGTGATTTTGTAAATGGAATTAAAAATTAGTTTGTGGTTAAATTGTTAAAAGTCGTAGATTGAATGTTGTGGTTTACAATACTTAACGTACTGACAATTTGAATATAGGTTGTTGGACAATGGGATCATATGTGAATATTAAACGATCTCGTAAGCCACAAAGAAAATAAACTAAGAGATGAGATGACAAAAGCTGCCATGAGACACAAGAATAACAAAAGGAAGCGATGATGTAAATGTAGGGTTAATTTTGTATAAGATTTATAATTTTGTATACGATTTATAATTTTGTATGTGAATGTAATTATGTATGAGATGAGAAAAGTTAGCAATAGGTTGTTGTACATGTTTCTTATACACAGTATGAGTCATGTTGATACTTACGATATATGGAGGTCATTGTCTGCATTATTCCAAATGTCACTAACATAATTGTCATCATGTGCGGGACTGAATGGTCATTCCATATTTAGGTATATACAATAACTAAAAATTCAATAACTTTAAAGTAATAAGGAAATTTACAATGTAGGTGGTAAAAATAGACTTTTTTAATGATAAAATTAATAAACACAAAGATTTGTTTCCAACATTTTGTCTAGTATGGTTCACAAACATAAAGTTTCCAAAAAAGTGTGTCGATACATTTATAAAAAGTATCGATCCCAAAAACATCGAAGCCAATAATTATAATGTAATAGGTAATTTTTCAATGTAACCGGTATAAATATACCAGTTTTATGAGAGAATAGGTCTACATAATGTATCGACACTTTTGAAATTTGTTTCGATACTTTTTTTCCATAATGAATGCCCAAACTAGGTGCACGCATAAAGTGTAGATACATTTATAAAAAGTATAGATCCCAAAAATATCGAAACTCATAATTATAATATAATAGGTAATTTTACAATGTAACTGGTATATATATACCAGTTTAATTAGAAAACATATCAAAATAATGTATCGACACTTTTGAAATTTGTGTCGATAGATTTTGTCCAGAATGAATGCAAACGAGGTGCACGCATAAAATGTCGATACATTTATTAAAAGTATCGATCCCAATAACATTGAAACCGATAATTACAATGTAATAGGTAAATTTGCAATGTAACTGGTGTAAATATACATGTTTTATTAGAGAATAGGTATACATAATGTATCGACACTTTTAAAATTGGTGTCGATACATTTTGTTCAGAATGAATGCCAAACTAGGTGCACGCATAAAGTGTCAATACATTTATAAAAAGTATGTATCCCAAAAACATCGAAACCTATAATTATAATGTAATAGGTAATTTTGCAATGTAAACGATATAAATAGACTGGTTTAATTAGAAAACAGGTCAACATAATGTATCGACACTTTTTAAATTTGTGTCGATACTTTTTGTCCAGAATGAATGCCCAAAAGAGGTGCACGTATAAAGTGTCTATACATTTATAAAAAATATCGATCCCAAAAACATAGAAACCCATAATTATAATATAATATGTAATTTTTCAATATAACCGGTATAAATGTATCAGTTTAATTAGAAAACATGTTATCATAATGTATCGACACTTTATAAATTTGTGTCGACATTTTTTTAAATTACGCGTGTTTTTTCCTTCATTAGTTATATTTTAAATTAGAATCGATACAAACTCCAAATCGAAAAACCCTAAACTTAAAGGCAGAAGAGAACTCTTCGACTCCGACGAATACCAGCGTTCATAACAATTACAATCAGATATTTATGTAAATTTATCGATATTTTGCCATAAATTAGGGTTTGATTGATTTCCAGATTGGAATCTTTTTTCCTTAATGTGTTTGTGTTCCAATGTAACAGCATCCACACCAAAAATGACTCCAAAACGTCAGCGTCAGAGGCGCGGTCTTTCTCAAAGCTCTTCTCAACCACAACCTCATTCTCAAACAATCGCTTCTTTTAAGCAAATCAGGTCATTCGAAACTCTGAACCTTAGATCTGATGAGGAGAAAGAAAGATGGCAGAGGAGTTTTAAAGTAAGGAAGATTCATCCCGAACGTTTCATTGACATGGGTTTCTTGTTCGTTGATAAATATGATTTCAGTTTTAAATCCACATTTACATCTTGGGGTTGGATTGAATTCCTTGGTGTAGAACCAAAATATTACCCCAACCTAGTTAGAGTCTTCTACAACAATGATTCCTTTCAGCGTGAGCCTAATAAGAGTAATTAATAGGAATTAATACCCATGTTAAGGAATTATGATTTGCGAGAAGTCTAATTCTGATATTAGGTAATCTGAGTACCCAGATGTAAGCAGGTAGTGATATGATGTTCAGAGAAATTCGAGTCTATGCATATGTTTAGATGTATTTACTTCTCTATGTTTGTGATCTAGGTGAATATGCCTTGTTGCATTACATGTTATGAGATATGTGATGTATGATAGTGATCTATGAGATATTAATAATAAGTCATAAGATTACATGCACATGTAATATAAGATAAAATATAAGAAATAATATGTTATATTCATATGAGAAAAATGTATATGTGAACTATATAAAATGGGATAAAGAACTATGTGATGTGACCATGTGTGAAAAGGATGAATAATGTGAATTTCATGGAAAAAGCTACGTGAAAGTACACTATGTGACTATGTGATCATATGAAATGTGATAAAGAGCTATGTGAAAGAACTATGTGATATGAATATATGAATGTGTAATGAGGTAAAAGATAATGCCCATGTCATGTGTTATGAGAGCTATAGGTATAGTTGGCATGCCAAGAGTCGAGGGTCTACGCGGTCCTTCGGGATATAGTGGTCCTTCGGGACTTAGTGGTCCTTTGGGACATATGTGTTATATGTGGTCCTTCGGGACAAATTCTATGCGCCCCTAGTGGGAATTATACGAGCTGTGGTGACAACATAGTGCACAACCTCTATGTACTCACATACCTTAAGTTCTCAGTAGTGTGCATGGGCTAACCAAAAAGATAACAATAAAATGTGAGTTGTAATGAGAAATGTGTTACATGTTTTATGTGATGATATATGTGAATGTGTGTATATGTTACAGGAAAGAATGTGTGTTATGGGTTATGGCATTTGTTATGTGATGTACATGAATATATGTTAATGTATATATATGAATGAATATCAATGACTCATATGATGATGTAAGAACATGTTATAAGATATAGAATTTGAAAATAAGAGATCATATGAATAAGAAATAAGAGATAGAAAGGATAATCATATAAGAGTATGAGAAAATATAAATGATGATATGCATGTGTGTATGTAATTGTTACATGAAAAAGTATGTACACAAGTATGACATTGTATTACATGATATGTACATGCATTTGATAATTTACATATGTATTTATATGTCTCACTAAGTCTATGACTTAGCATGTGAGTGTTTCATACGTAGGTTCATGAAAGCAGGAAGAGAAGATAAGAGGAGCAAGACATGTTAGTTTCTCCATACCGAAAGTCAGATCAGAACCTAAATGAATAACATGTATTTTGTTATATAGAATCTAGTTGGCATGTAGTTAAAAGATTTGTATTAGATACGCTCTAATCAGTTTTGTAAAACCATATGTTTTATATCATAGAAAGTAAAGGGTTTTATTAGAAATATCAAACTAAATCTTGGGTATTTTGTAAAAGTAAATGTTTTGAGAAGTCAATGTGACACCTCATACTCATATCCGGGTCGGGTACAGGTTGGGGGTGTTACATTTAATGGTATCAGAGCTAAGGTTTAATCGATTCTAGGCTTAAACCAAAGTCAAATGAGGTTTAAAAATATGTACATGCCAACTCAAAGTGAAAATTTCTGATCTGATATAGTAAAGAGTATGATGTCTTGCTAATAGAATAAGATTTGTATGATATATTAGAAATTGATTATAGAAATTGTCAAAGCGAATCTATAACCGACAAATCTGATGGTGATAGCAATTCACCTGCTTTGGCCAGACAGGATGAAGAGCGAAAACCTCAAAAGTGTCTTATAAGATTAAATATTGATTTCAGAAAGTTGAAATCATATCTGAATAATGATAGAAAATTTTCACTGTTTTGAATCTGAAAGGTGACATGGAGTCATTTTGTTATTTAGTGGATAAGATAGAATATGGTGAACAAGTGTCACCATAAGAGCGTTAAAAGATCAAATGATGCAATGAGAATTGGTAGAAGAGTTCAAGAATAAATGTATTAGTGACAAGCGTATAAGATGTATAAATCTAGAGATTATGAATTTGAAACAGGGGAATCATAACGTGTATGAATAAGAGTGTATATGATTAGAAGAACTGTTGCTGACTAACAAGGGTAAGTGAAGATGAATGTATTAGAGTTAAAGGATTAAAGATGATGTCAAGTTAAGCTAACAAGGTATGGCATAGAATTTGTAAATGGTTATGTATTTTGA